AGCTATAAATGCGTAGGAATTTTGCGTGTAATTGTTGAAACTGTCAATGTGTAACGTGGCATGCGCGAATGGCATCAAGCATCGATTATCTCCTGAATAACAGAAATTTCCATTTAGTATTGTGCTGCACAAAAGCCTATACGTACGTATTACGCAATGGTAATTTGCTAATTCGTCTTAACGTGAATTTAATCACTTTGCATCGCGATCTACGTAGATCGTCTCTCTCGTAGAGACATTGATAGATTTCCGTTTCAATTAAAATAAGCGGTCTAGATTATATTAGATATGAAATAAAAATGGAGGACAAAATAAGTTTTTCTCTCTCCTGATCAATTTTATGGAAATTTACGCGCGCGTCTGTGTTTAATATTTATTAAATAATTTTCCCCTTTTTCATTTCTGACAAATAATGCACGGCATTATAAAATTCATCAAACTTTAAAGTATGTCGAACATTTTATTACTTATGCAAAATTTTATTAAATTCTTTAAATTTTTATAGAGATATATATAATCAATATAATAAATCTTTATAGAGATATATAATCAATATAACGTCCTGTTGCACGTAGAAAGATTTCTATCATTCATGAAGCTTTCGAGTTTTACAAAGCGTGACGAGTGTATTTTGGGGGTCATGCACTTCCTTTATTCAGAAATTCCACCAAAAATCTACGGTAGCTGTTTCGTCTCTCGTAACTCGTCTCATAGCTCGTCTCTCTGCCAGCTGTGGCCCAATTTAACAGACTGTAACAGGACTCTACACGCTACCGAGCATAAACTACGGCGGCGAGCTAAGTGACAAGTTGTTCGAAGCGCGGTTGTTCGCCATATCGAATTATTGTTGCCAAACGGAATAGGGATACACATCTCGCAGGAATGTGCTTGAAATCCCTACGGAAACGCTATCGCTGTTCCTTGCCAGGAGCGAATTTACATGGAAACTAGTAAAACTTAAATTTCAGACCCATAACTGTCAAAAAGCTTCTACCGAATATATTTCTGTTTAAAAGCATTCATCAATTTTTTTTTTAAATTGTTACGAAAAATACAGCGTGTATTTCCTTTGTATACGAAAAAATATTCTTAAATTAAGTTAATATCTGCTTGCTTACATTTTTCAAGAATCACAAAAGATTATAAACATCAATTTTTTGAAAAGCCATCGTATGTTTCTTATTTCTCGTGCTACTTTTAATGCCCCTCACAATCTACAACCAGCTGCAGCCATGTTGTCGCGAACAGTTTCGGCTTCGCACCGAAGGTTTTCTCCTTATGTTACTTCCTGTGAGAGTCAGCTACGCTTAGCGAGCTTGGAACGATGCAATCGATTGTGATGACTCCCGATACCAGGCGAAAATTAACCGGAAACAATTGATATGACCTTCGTATCAGGTTACACACATGAATTCTCCTAACTGAATAAGAGAGACTTGCAAGAGTCTTCATTTACTGTTGCATCTCGAAGAGATACGCAGCTCGCGATCATTGTCAGATCATTGATTTTTAGCATCTTTCCGATAAACCATCGAAATATTGGCAGTTAAATTTTTATGTGTTTTCTTTATAAATGCAGCTATAAATATTTTGTAAAAATATAATGCTAGTTATGGAAAATATTTATGAAATATATGTAGTAGTTACAGCTCTTGAAAATTATTGGCAATGATCTATTGATTGTTCAGCGGTTCATAGGATCCCTTATATAATTTTGTATAATTGTACATGTAGGGAAACGTAGAAGAGAATAAACCGACTGTTTTGCGGTCAGGTTATAGCTTCTGTACACCAGAGGCAACAGCATTACCAGACGTCAGGTTGTCCCACAACAATGAAATAAAATTCCCTTGGGTTATATTTTCACTCATGGTCAAAGCCTTTAGAGGCTAAGCTGAATATTTGGTGTTGTAGAGGAGAGATCTTGGGTGACCGCAAATGGTGCGAAGTAAACCATGTGTGAAAAGGGGTCTTGAATATTGCGTTACGATAAAGAGACTATAGGAGGAAGGAAAATAGGAATTACGAGAAAGAAAAAAACAAATATGTGTAAGCTATGTTCAACACATATTTTTATTTAAAAATGTATCGATAAAAAAGAATAAAAAAGAAAATAATAATAATTATTATTCAAGATAATTATTCAAGATATTATATTATTATTCAAGATAAATGTATTTCAAAGATTCAGTACCAAAGTACAACATTTACAAACGTAGCTAAACTTTCGCGTCAATAATTTATTTGATATATCGTTTCGATTATATGATAATCTGTGTATCTAATTTTTAATTAAGAATCTGAAAAGCTTGAATCAATTTAATAATCATTTTAAAATATTTGATACATGGAAAATCAGCGAAAAATTTTCATATAGGATGTTTTTCAATTTCATAACCGTAGTTTAATAACTACGATTAATACAATTAACATAATTGTCTCTTAGATAAACTCAAGAATAATTAAATTTACTCCATGAGAAAATTTAAATTGAAATTGAATTTAAAATATCTTTTACCAGAATTTTCGTTCCAATTGGAAAATGGGTCAAAAATCGAAATATAAGCTTAATTATAAAAAGGCAAACGAAAAACATACATGGATAAACGGATTAAATATTTTGAAGCGTATTTATAGCGCGATATAATCGGTTGGTATTTTTGAAATATAAATATAAAAATTAAATTATTATTTTTATGTTACATCAAAGAACATTAATTGGCAAAACAATTTGTGAAATATAAATTTAAAATTTTCAAAAACAAAGTTAAATTAAATAATAAATAATAAAGTAATAAATGAAAAGTCAAAATGCATTAAGTATTGCATATTTATATTGCAATTAAAAATACATAAAGGAGCAACATTAATTATCACTTTAAAGATAATTTATCATATTTGCTGCTATTGTGTGTTAAATGTAAATTAAGAGTAATTATAACGAAATATGAAGTGCGAAATTATATATATATATATATATATATATATATATATATATATATATTTATATTTATATTATAGTTTAATCTAGAAATTGCAAGAATACTAATGTTCTTTGAAATTTTTCGAATGAAACTTTTATAATCCTTTTCATTAATTTTTTTGCAGTACATATTAAAGAATTTTTTTATGATAATAACTCTATACTTCTTGTTTTATAATTTTAAATTAAGCATTCCAATTAGATAGTTTTAAATATAAAATTACAATAAAGAAGCGCTTCAATATTATTGATTCATACACACATATATTCTAGTTTTAATGATAGATTTATATATAGATACTTTATTAAATATACATTAACAGTGAATATATTTATAAGCAAATTTTAATTCGAGATTGCACTTTTAAACGAATAAAGATTTTATATTAATATCTTTTCAAGTAATGATTAATTTTGCTACATATTTAATTTTGAAATTTTTTATTTTTTTATGATATTTTTGACTTTTCGGGTTGACTGAATAATCAATGATTTGATTGAGAACAATTAAAAAATTTATCCGCTTCAAAAAGTTAATTGAGGATGGAATAATAATCGATTATTATTCATAATTGATACATATTACAATTTTCTTCTTTTATTTAACGATTTTATTTAACGACATTTATAATCAATAATATAATTATTTTACACAATACCGTTTTTATGTGTCGCGTCATGAAAGCAATTTTTCTATACGTAAACGAATAAAATCTATACTTGAAGTTTTAAATCACGCAAGAATCTCACGTAGTTTTATTAATATTTATCATTTAATATTATACAATTTAATAAAATATTTCATATTACACGAGACAAAAGTGGCCGTTTTTTGCTGGAATTGCTTTCAACGAGATTCATAAAATTTTTAGATTCGAAATCAACGTTGTTGTCTTCGCATCCGGTGTAAAATCGCGATTATCAAATCGCTCGCGCGATTTTCTCAAGCTGTGAAAAATCCATCGCTTAGGTGCGCCTGCTGTTTCGCATTGCCATTCTCTCACTTTGTTGATTCTCTTTCCCTCCTCCACTTGTGCATCCCTATGGGAGGGTTAAATATCGATCTACGCGGTGCCGCGTCCCCGATTCTTTGCTGACTGGATCGGAACGAGCCTAACAGCATCTCAAACAATGTATCCCAGGTGTCAGAGGCTCGGCGCTCCGGTTTGCCTAGTATATATGGAAGTATCGATTGTCGCACTCGCTCTCCCGACCTCGGCTGTAACCTCGGCGTTGTCACGTCACGGGCGGGTTTGACGGGTCGAGATGGTATATTCTCGTTAGTGTCGTAAAACAAACGTTTCCCCGAGACGACCGGGTCGCTGAAGAAGGGTGGGGAAGATGTTGATATTAGCGTGTTGGCATGGCACCGTTAATTCCGTCCTTTCAGGTGCGGCCAGGTGAGCGCTTTTTAATCCACGAGAGCAGAGTTTTTGTCATGATTTTGTCGAACAATTTGTCGACCGGTTTTATCCTCCTTTCTTTCGTTATGTCCGACGCGTATTATATAATATATGCTCCTCTCTTTTCCTCACATGCTTGTCCTTTTTTATATTTATATTACGAGCCACGGTGTTCCATTACGAGCTAATGCTCGCGATATACACATGCGGTAAGATGTTAAGATTAAGTTGATCGTTATACTTATAAAGCAATCGCTATTGACGTGCTATAAAGCATATCGTGAAGGAGAGTGTTATATATATGCAGTATAAATATAGTATAAATAATATTTTTCCTTAAACGATGATATACGTGATAAACGATGATGTACATATTACAAAGTATATCTATTATGTGTATTTATTTTAGTAATGTTATATCATTGCAAATTTCTCAAATGAAAGAACTCGTGTAATCATATACGACTATCTACAATATTAAAAGTATTAATATAAAGATAGTGCTATATATATTTGTTTCTTTATAATGAAGCGAAATTTCCTAATCGAGCGGAGCTTATAAACGATCTTTCGCAATATCTTCGGTAAAAAGAGATTTTTGATCTTTGTTCTAGGTATCGGTGGTTTTACCTCCGGACGCTTCTACCACGGTTGGCTGCTCATTGAACCACACACTTGATTCAACGGCGCTTCAATGAGCGAACACACAGCTAATTGGCAAGGTAAAACAAGCAAATTGTTACCGGGAAAGTACACAAGGCACAATATAATAAAGTAGTTAAGATGTTTTTGTAGACTAGAAAAACAAGGGAAAATTTATTTTTATATCTATTCACACGTATATCGCACCACGTCATATCGTTCGCGTCTTGTGTACTTGACTTACAAGTTATAATTAAAGTAGAGTACCATTCATTTTACAAATTACACGACGACAATCGTGTCTTGCAACACAATGTAGAATAAATGTTTTTGTCTCCCCTGCTATACTATTCGCTCCAAAAAGCAAGTAGGATGCGGCGCAAATACGACAACGTTATGTATAATGCACAGCCGCAATACGTACAATTCTCAATGCTATCAGGAACGGGGAAACGAGAGGGAAAGCACGAAACTGCGGATAAACAGACGAGGGCGGAGGAGCGCGTGGGCGAATAGAGGGTAGTTTCCCCTCGAAAAACGCTAAATGCGCTAATTGGCGGTGTCTACGTGTGCACGGAGGGCATACATTTTCCACGACCATTCATAACCTTTTAACGCGATTAAGCGGCTCCGCTTGCAGCCAGGGAGAGCTAAAGAGCATACGAATGAACCCGTGTGTTGTTTGGCTCGACGACCGGCCCGCGGTATTTTTGTTGGGATGGGATTAGGGTTCAGGGAGAAAAGGGGGGGAAAGAGCGCTCCGGTCGCGCGAATTAAAGGGGTTGTCTCGTTATCTGTGAAAGGAGCCGGATTAATAACATGATACCCCTGTATACGGCCCGAGGGTATCCCGCTCCCCTCCTTCAGTTTCGCGCGCGCTTACGGTGGTTGATACCGAGATTATGTTGCGGTTAAATAATGATGCATATCCCTCCCTCGACGGCACGAGAGGAGACGGGACTACACTACACGACACGAGACGATGACGATGACGAAAGCGTTTACCGGACCCTTGATCTGACCCGGGACTTCGAGCGGCGAGAGCAAACGTGAAGCCCCGTAAATTGTTTCGCGTAAATTCACGGCCGAATGAACGCTCTTCGCAAACATACAACACGAATGTGTAATATCTCTATGTTGATATTAATTAGTTTCCACTTTTCGGAAACAGGCGTCGGGCAATGTATATTCGCCTCTGGTATTCCACGGACGCCTTCGGGGAAGCAATTACTGGTTAATACGATTAAGTTTGAATTATTAGCATAATTATTGGTGTAGCAGTAATGACCGTAGTCGTTAACTCTTCTTTGTCTCCCGATTACGCGATTCTTTGACTACTCTATGAGTTATACCGAGCAACGACCGTAATCGAGCATTCGTAATATATCTTGAACCCCCCCCCCGTAATGTAAAATCGTTCGCAGATAAGTTTAAACACGGCGTTGTAATGCTTTATCGTTCAATCGCGTTGGAATTATCCCTGCGGGATGAACAGAAATGTAAATCCGTGTCAGTTTATCCTGAGAGTCAATTAATAGGAATATAAATGGAATAGTCAGAAATCAAATTAATCAAGAACAGTTTAATTAGCTCGCCCGACGTAACCAATTCGGTATACCGATTATGTAACTGTTTCATATCGGTGCTCATTAACAACGAGCAGGGAATTTTCGATTAAAAGGATAATAAGGATATAAATTCGATTTGGGACAATAATAAATGACACCGTCTCTTATCTAAGGTCATCGACGGAGCCATTACGAGTGACCTTAATCTTCCGAAATATAAGGCGCGTCGAATTATTTTTCATTAACGAGAGACTATCCTGGCCATTAGTAAACTCATTGAACAAATTTGCTAGATAATCTACTAAACGGCGGGCGCGCGCGTACACTTAGCGTAGGTTTAAGCGATAATTGGGAGAGCTCGTGTACGCGGTTCGCGAATTCACGACTACACTTATATCAACTTTGACCTCAAGTAAACGCCAAACTGGATCTCATAATCCAATCATGCGGTAGTTACCAATACTCGTTAAGAGTTATGAATATACCCATGTCCGCACAATAACGCTTAAGAATTGCTGACGTATTTTTGCATAGATAAAAAGCAATTTCTACACATTTCGATAATTATGAATAACGATGCAATTAATTATGTCAGCTTGAAGTTGAATATAACAATCGTCACTCGTCGTTGCTTTCGACTTAGATTTATTTTCGTTACATTTTTTCTACAAATAAGGAGATACAGTATTTTGATTACACGCACGCGATAAAATATTTCGAATATATACGCCTGGTTAGTTTAGTTTTAAGATTATAGAAATTTTTCTTAAAGGTGTGATTTATCTTCCCGCGTCGACATGCTGTTCTTTTTGACAAAATAATACAGCTGGCTCAGTGTCGCAGCCGTCACGCATAAAAACGGTCTTTTTTGCACTCGAGGGAAATAAATTGCGATGTTAAAAGGGGAATTTTGCGACAAATGCAAAAATTACGCGCTTCGTCTCATTCATAAAGTTTTGTCAAGCAATTCAAAAGGAAAGCGAGATACGCACAACAGAAAAAGTGTCAGCAAAGAGATTGCAAAATACGCGTATTCAGTATGTTTTTCAAATAATAAATAAATAATTAAGTTATATTATTTCTTTGGAATCTTGAACACTATCAAAAAATCTTGAACAAATTTTCAGGGAATTTAATAGTCGTATGGCATTTTTGTACGTGTAGGAAGCTTTGTGCGGAAAATATATCCAGAAACGAAGTTACTTGCTTATTATCATCCTTTATTCTTATATAGACTTAAAGGTACAAAAGAAAGAAAGAGAGAGAATAATGAGATGTCTCCTATACAAGATAAAAAGCTAACCATTTGATTCAAACGTATCGCGTCTTATTCTTATTTTTCGATGTAGTGACGTCAATACGCGGGGAATAAAAGAGAAAGAAAGAGAACAAAAGGAAGAAAAAAATATGCAAAAAGAGAAATGCGAGTGCATTTCTATGTGGAAAGAAAAACCTCATTTGTACCGCGGAATATTTTTCTTTGGATCTTTTCCTTTTTGTGTTGTCGCGCTCTCGGCTCTCCCTTTGGTTCCGCCAAACTGGACGAGTCTAAGATTCTTGTGGAGGCGGAGAAAGATAATTTCATTTGAGCGACAGCAGGGTCGACGAGAACTATAGAAAGAGCCAAGAACACCCGTCAGTTGACGATTATTTTATTTCGTTATATTATCTTGCTGTGTATACATAGCGCAAATGTATTTTTGAACAGTAACATTTGGTGCTCTGTTCACTTTTATTTATCTTTTACGATGCACTGAACGTGCGATAAAATTTTATATAATATCTGTTTTCTTGAAAATATTGAAAATGGAAAACATTGCTGTATTAAAGTACTGAAATAAAAAAGAAAATAAACATCTGCTTAAAAAATTTGATATTTTAAAGAGAATATTTTATTAATAGGGATTAAGAGAGAGAGACATAATAAAGATTAAGGAATAAGAAGAGCTTTCAATAAATGAGATTGTTTCAATATCATAGAAAAGCTGAATGTGAAAGAAAGTTAATCTAAAAGGATATTGCAGAAATAAAAAAAATTAGATATAATATATTAATACCAAGAAAATACATTTATATATTTAATTTATATATTAATTTATATATTTATAAATTTATATATTTATTTATATATTTCATTTGGTATTAATATATTGTATCTAATTTTTATATAAATATATTTATACGTATTTATTACGTTATACATATATATATTTTTTTTTTCTATTGCTTTTGAATCTCGTTTATATTCTGTACTTCTTATTCCGGTAAAATAAATATTTTCAATTGTATATTGTGACGTTAAAGTGAACGAAGCAAGTGAATGTTCAGTCGAAAGAACCGAGCTCGCAATTTATCGCGCGATCACGCATGGCGCGTGCAAAATTTGTCGTGAAATCCTGAATTTTTTTGCAGAATGCGCGTTTGGCGCAAAGAATCGATACCGTTTCCCGGCATCCCTTCCGCGTGATATTACAGCATGTATTTCGCCTGCGGCAGCCTTTAGCTAGAAACGACAAACATAACGTACACGAGAGATAGATCAACAACTACCCAATATCTCTGGTAACTATGTGGCTTTCGACATGATTACACAAGCTTTGAGTGTATTCGTATTTTAGTAATATAAATCATGCGCATTTTATTGTTCATTTAACCGGGATATTCGCATTTTGTTGTTAAAATAATAATTAAGTATCTTGAAGTAATTTCAAAGATATATCGAGATTTTTTTAATGCAACTTTCGCTGATGCTTCATGTAGAAACTGCAATCACGAGACTGACGGTTTGTTTGTTAGACTCCGTTAAAATCGAATGAAAACATATAATTATAACGCTTTTGACAATAGGATAGGATAAAAGAGAAATACGAGGTCATTAAAAAAACAACATAAATATAACAATTAGCCTAATTACAAGTCCGCACAAATGAGAATGTGGAATATGTATAACTCTGATCTTTCCTTTGATATCTCTTTATGCTACATTTATTTTACGTGAATTCAATTCGATGAACAAATCACGTGTTTCAGATATAACAATATCTGCGAATTTATTCTTTTTCATTCATTTCGAAACCATTATTTTCATCAACGAGATGTTCAATGTTAGTTAAAGTCGAACTGAGACCAGACGTCGAAACGTCAAAATCGCCGACAATTCACCCCAATAGTTTACTAAACATATGTATACAACACCTATGGATGAATACGACAACAACGATTCGTTTTTCAGGAACATTGCTTATAGCGTTCTCCCTTTTTCTCTGACTCTCGCGCCTTCTATCGCTCGACCGACCACCTCCCTTCCTTTTATATGAGGTACTATCGCTCCGGGATGAAAGTGTACGCGGAAATGGACGATTTTCCTGCTGCAATAGAACGGCGCAAAGAATTGCGCCTGGATATAACCTTTTTTATTCCGAGAATGGCGATTATTGCGCGAACGAACGTGGAGTCTGATCGTCCGTGAGAGTGACTCATCTGGACGCTTTTCGTCGTTTGAATTG